ATGATGATGATGATGATGATGCCGACGGTGACGACGACGACCATGATGATGATGATGATGAGGATGCTGGTGATGGTGATGATAATGATCATAGTTATGATTATGATTATGATCTTGATTCTGATTATGATGGTGAGGTTGATGATGCTGCTGACGATGATGAGCATGATGATGATGATGATGATGATGATGATGATGATGATGATGATGATGATGATGATGATGAGGATGATGATGACGATAATGATGATGACGATGATCATGAGGCTGATGGCGACGCTGCTGCCGTTGATGATGGTTGTGATGATCATGCTGACGGTGGTGGTGATGATGCTGATGATGATGCTGATGGTGGTGATGATGATGATGATGATGATGTTGATCATGCAGGAGGTGCTGATGATGATGATGATGCTCATGATAATCATGATGCTGATGCTGATGCTGATGCTGATGCTGATGATGATGATGATGATGATGATGATGATGATGATGATGATGATGATGATGATGACGTCGACCAGGATGAGAACGATTAGTTAGGATGATAATAACGATGGTGGTGGTGTTTGTGATTGAAGAAGGATGACGATGCTAGTGGTGGTGGGGATGACGCAGCTGATGATTATGAGGTTGATGATGCAGGAGGAGTGGAAGATGACGGGGAGGAGGGAAGAGAGTTAGAGGACGAGGAGGAAGAGCCGTGCGGGTCGGGAGAACATTAAGCGGGGCGGGGGGCAAAACAATTTGGGAGGATGAGGGGGGGGGGACGGCAAGACGAGGAGGATTGTAGTGTCTTGCTGATGCCCATGAGGGGAGGCGCACGAGCAGCAGCAGTTGCAGGAGGCAGTGGTGGACGAGTAGGAGGAGGAGGAGGAGGAGGAGGAGGAGGAGGAGGAGGAGGAGGAGGGAGAAGGACGAAGAAGAAGGAGGAGGAGGAGGAGGAGGCGGAGCACTGCACCTTCCTGGCGTGGCTGCTCGCCGTCAGTGGGTGGTGTCGGGCGCGCGCGCGCAGACCCGCTTTCGGCTGCAGGAGGCGGAGAGGGGAAACGGAGCCTTCGCCCGCAGCGCGTGCCAGGCAGAGGTGTTCCGAGAGGCCCTGCTGAGCGCCATGAGGTCGGAGCTCCAAGAGCGCTTCAGCCCGCAGGCGCCCGCCGGCCCCCCGGCCTCGTGCCCCTCGCCCGTCTTGGCCGTCGGGGGCACTCGGACCTCCCTTGGGGGTTCGAGCTCGTTGTCGCCTTCCTCCTCCTCCTCCTCCTCCTCCTCCTCCTCCTCCTCCTCCTGCTCGTCATCATCATCATCATCATCATCATCATCATCATCATCATCGTCATCGTCATCATCATCATCATCAGCATCATCATCGTCATCGTCATCGTCATCATCATCATCATCATGATCATCATCATCATCATCAGCATCATCAGCATCATCATCACCATCACCATCACCATCACCGTCATCATCATCATCATCATCATGATTATCATGAGCATCATTATCAGCAGCATCATCATTATCATTATTATCATCATCATCATCATCGTCATCATCATCATCACCAGCGCCGTCACCACCATCAGCAGCAGCATCATCAACGTCACCGTATTCTTCGCCGTCCTCATGACCATGACCATCGCTATCATCGCTATCGACAGCATGACCGTCGTACCGTCAACACCACCGTCATGACAAGTATACTCGACATCATCCCCACCGCCATCATCACCAGCGTTCCCACCACAATCATAATTAACACCATGACCGTCATCATCGCCACCGCCGTAATCACCACTAGTACCACGATTACCACAGTCGTCATCGTCGTCGTCTTCATCACCACTACCATCTTCACCACAGTCGTCGTCGTCGTCGTCGTCGTCGTCGTCGTCGTCGTCGTCGTCGTCGTCACCATCATCACCACAATCATCAACACCGCCCTCCTCCTCCTCCTGTTCTTCCTCTTCCCTTGAAAGGACCAGGCCCGCGCGGTCAATGGTGCCGCCGGGCGGGTCCAGCGCCGACCCGCGCCAGGCGAGCAACTGATCTTGTTTTTGTGGGTCGGTTGCTGCCGTCTGGAGCTCGGGGCTTGCGCGAGCTTCGCGCGAGGTTCCCCAGCCTGCTCGTGCGTGGAGGCGCCCTGGTCCAGTGGCTTCCGCAGTGGCGTGAAATCGACCTCGGCCCAAAGTGCCTCGGTACAGTTTTTAACCATTTTCCGTGTGCCGTAGGGCGCAGTCACCCAGGGAGCATAGTGCCTCTGCGGCAATGTAGTGGTAGAAAAATCGTTGGGATCATGGTCGCTGCAATTTCAATTGTCGCCGCCAACATCACCATCATGTCATCACCATTGCCGCCACCATCAGAACCAACATTATGATCATACTCCCCTTCCCCCACCATCATCATTTCCGCCGCCGCCACCATCGTCATCATCCCCGTCATCGCCACCGTCATCACCATCATCATCACCATAACAATCATCACCATCATCATCATCATCATCATCATCAATAACACCACCATCAGCAGCACCGTCATGATCATCACCACCGCCATCATCACCACCACCATCACCATCACCATCACCATCACCATCGCCATCGCCATCACCATCACCATCACCATCACCATCATCATCATCATCATCATCAGCATCATCATCATCGTCATCGTCATCGTCATCATCATCATCATCATCATGATCATCATCATCATCATCATCATCATCATCATCATGATCATCAGCATCATCATCATCATCATCACCATCACCATCATTATCACCATCATCATCATCACCATCATCATATCCATCTCCATCATCATCAACAACAGCAGCAATACAGCAGCAGCAGCAGCAACAACAACAACAACAACATCGTCGTCGTCGTCGTCCTCGTCGTCGTCGTCGTCGTCGTCCTCGTCCTCGTCCTCGTTTTCGTCTTCGAGCTCATCCTCGGCCCCCCCGCGTTTTTTTGGGGGCAGGGGGGGGGTCGTGGAGCCCGCTCCCCGTCGCGGCGGGGCTCGGCGGGGAAACGCGATCTGGCCCGGGCCCAATGGAGGGCTGCGCCCTGGCCCGCTGGCGGGAGCCAGCGCCGCCACCGTCGTGTCGGAGGTGCCTCTGGGCGTCTGGAGGCTCTCGTCGCAGCGGTTGGGTGCCGCAGGCCTCGAGATTGACACCAACACCAATATCGGCGGCGTGCCTCCACCGAGGGATGAGGATTCCGGTCTCGGTGATGGTGGTAATGTTCTGGCTTCCAGGGTGGCCGAAATATTACCACCAACACCGAAATCTAGGGCCATCTTCCCCCTGTGGAGGCAACCCCCTGTGTTGGTGTTGGTGCCAATGTCCAGGCCTCCGAGGGTGCGGCGTGGGAGAAGGCCCCAGCGCGAGCCGTCGCCCGAGCCCGAAGCCACCCCCGACCGCGGCCCCGACCCCGCGGGCCCGAGCCCGAGTCCGAGGCCGAGCCCGAGCCCGAGCACGGAGGATTGCAACAAAACCGAAGGATTGCAAAAAAAACGAGGGTTTTTTTGCAATCCTGAGTCCGAGGCCGAGCCCGAGCCCGAGCACTCGCGCGCTCCCGCACTCGATCGAGCTGGCGCCCGGGTGCCGAGCCCGAGCCCCAGATCCCGGGGGCGGCCAAGAGGGGGGTGGTGACTAGGATAAAACGACGCGAAGATCGGGACAAAATCGGATCGGGATAGCTCGAAATCTCTGAGAATCGGCGGGTTTGGAGGATGTATTGGGCGCCGCGGCCGCTCCAGAGCGTTCCGGAACGCTCTGAGAGCGCTCCGGAACGCTCTGAAGCGATTTATCCCGATCCTAGCCCTGTTTTGTAGGGGGGGGGGGATGTCATGGCGGAGGCCACGGGATCTCCCCAGATTTCATGGCGCCTCTGCTTATTTCACTACGTCCCCGGCGGCCCCCTGGGCCGCGCACATGCCGCTGGCCATGATTTGCGCCCCCCCCCTCTTTGACAACCCTCCTCTTGGCCGCCCCCGAAGATCGAGCCAATCCCGAGCCCCGCCCAGGCAGCAGTGCATGGCCAGGCCAGAGCCACTTTGGGAGACAGCCTTGTCGGCGGCGCAGCGGATGGGGGGGGCGGCTTTTCACATACGCGCCCGCGCTCTCCCGCTCTCTTTTCTCCTCCTCCTCCTCCTCCTCCTCCTCCTCATCCTCCTCCACCTCCTACACTACCTCCTCCACCTTCTTCTCTACCTCCTCCTTCTCCTCCTCCACCTCCTCCTCCTCCTCCTCCACCTCCTCCTCTTCTTCCTCCTCCTCTACCTCCTCCTCCTCCTCCTCCTCCTCCTCCTCCTCCTCCTCCTCCTCCACCCCTTCCTCCTCTTCTCTTCCTCCTCCTCCTCCTCCACCTCCTCCTCCTCTACTTCCTCCTCCTCTACCTCCTCCTCCACCTCCTCCTCCACCTCTTCCTCCTCCTCCTCCTCCTCCTCCTCCTCCTGCCCTCCGTCTGGGGGCTCTCCTGGAAGCCCCAGTACCTTCCGAGAAGGGCCTGGGGCGCTCTTTTTCTTGCTGCGCGCCGCGTGTGTTCAGGTTCGTGGCATCTCCGGAGGCCGAGGAATGGCGGTGGTGATGAAGAGGAAGGGAAGGAGAAGGAAGAGGAGGAAGAGGATGAGGAGGAGGAAGAGGAGGAAGGGGAGGAGGAGGAAGAGGAAAAAGAAGAGCAGGAGGAGGAGGAGGAGGCGAAGACAAGAGAAGAGGAGTAGAGAGTAGACGAGGAGGGGGAAAAGGAGGAGGATGAAGAGGAAGAAGAGGAGGAGAAGGAGAAGGAGCAGGAGGAGGAAGAGGATGATGATGCTGATGATGATGCTGATGCTGCTGCTGATGATGCTGATGATGATGATGGTGGTGATGATGATGCTGATGATGGTGATGGTGATGCTGATCATGATGTTGTTTTTGATGATGACGATGCTGATGATGCTGATGATGATGACGAGGAGGAGGAGGAGGAGGAGGAGAAATGGGAGGAGAAGGGAACGGAGGAAGAGGAGGAGGAGGAGGAAGACCAGTGTAAACCCAAGACGGATCAACGATGTTGGAGTACACCCTCCCTCTAAGCTCGTTTTTTTTGTTTATAGGCCCAAACAAAGGTTCATTTCCACTGATGGAAGTGCCCCGTTTTCGGACACAACTGTGTGAAAATCCTGAAACGTGCCCAAATATCATTCTCAGGACTTCAACGCCACGAGGCAACCTGACTGTTGCGTCTTGACGATCCCCAATCGTGCTAGACCACCGTTCCTGGGACTCCAACGCGTGAATCAACGCAACTGTTGTGCCTTGGCAGTCCTGAATCGTTGCAAAAGGTTATTTTTGATAGGTTGACCATGAGAAACAATTAAGCTTTTGCAGATCGCTGAAAAGAGTGCGCGCGGCGGTTAGGCGAGAGGCGAATGTTGAAAGGGGACCGCCCTCAATCCGTGATATTCTTGCAAAGTTTGAAGACAATTGTGCGCGGCGCTCTGGCGCGAGCCACATTTTGAAAACGAGCCGCCCTTAACCCGTGAAACTTTACAACATTTTAAGACGAATGTGCGTGCTGCTGAGGCGAGAACCATATTTGGAAAACCGCCCGCCATCAACCCGTCAAACTCTGACAATTTGTTCAATCGAATGTGCACGGTTCTAAGGCGAGGGCCACATCTTGAAAACCAGCCGCCCTCCATTTGCGAAACGGTTGCCAGTTTCTGAGCTTCAGGCTCATGAGGCGTACGGAAGTCTCAAGCGAATCGTCCGGCCCGCCCTTCCGACTAGCCTCGGCGTGCGACAGGGGGGGGGCGTTATTCATGAGGAAAGGGATAGGAGGAGGAGGAAGAGGAGGAGGAGGAGGAGGAAGAGGAAAAAGAAGAAGAAAAAGAAGAGGAGGAGGAGGAGGAGGAGGACCAGTGCAAACCCAAGATTCCAGCGATGTTGAAGTACACCCTCCCTCCCAGATCCCTCTTCATGGGGCCCTCCAAGATCCAAAACACCATTCTCAGGACTTCAACGCCATGAGTTAACTTGATTGTAAAGTCTTGGCGATCCAGAGCCGTGCCAGCAAAATTAATCCTGGGACGTCAACACCGCGAATCAACGTAATTGTTGCGCCTGGGCAATTCAGAATCGTTCCAAAACACCGTCCC